AAACAAAACTGTCTTGTATCAGGAGAGGGAAGACCATTGTAAGAGCAAAGCGGAAGTGTGGGTGTATTTGCTTCACTCACAAACCCATCTGTTGCCTAGCAGCRGAACAACACTCCAAAAAATGGCGGACAACAACCAAAGCGCAGGTTTGTAAGAGTGGGTTAAATTCTAAATCCTTTTTTTCCCCAAGTATTTCAACTATTTCTTTAAGAGTATGTCTGTCGTGTTTTCTTAAACATGCAAGTCATTTCATTGCTCGTTTCAGAAGCACAGTCAGACATTCACAAGAAGATCAGATCAGCTTTTAAAACATTTGACTTCCTGTCTAACAACACGGTGGAGGCTTGGTGAGTTATGGCTACACGTTAAAGAAGAAACACACTAAACAAAACACTTCACTGAGAAGCAATTTTTTATACTTCTCCAACAGAAAATGGAAAACATTAACATTGAGGACAACATGATTTGTAATTAACAATAAAAGTTGCCACTTAATGTCTTCAAAAAAGCTTTTTTTTCTGATAGTAGAAGATGAAAGTTCAAAACATTTTTAAACCTTTATTTAGACCCTAAAACAGGCCAGTTTGACATAAGAATGGAAATAAAAGAAGCTTATTGAAAATTAATGTGTCTATAAAAATTTCTCCCCCTGTCTATTTATGATTACATCATTTTAAGCTTTACTTTTGGAAATCCACATGCTCCACAATGCATTTTGTATCTGAACTGTCAAACAACAAAGTTTCCCACACATTTTTTTACTAAATAGGGAATAACACAAGGCTGACTGAAATCTAGTGTCATGTGTTTGTTTTCCAGTGAGATTAACTCCGTCATCTATTCACTGGGTTGCTTTCCGACTCAGGCAGATCTACATGCCTTCATATCTGAGGTCAGGATACTGTTCTCAAACATGTTTWAGTTATTATGATGAATATAATCAAAAAATACAAAATGTTATTACAATCACGAAAAAGGGATGTGTTGATTAATATTGATTTTTGTTTTTGCACTTCGTTCAGGTTACACAAAAGTCCAGAGGAAGTCTTTTATTTAGAGGTTTAGGCTTGCTTGCATTATCCATTTTATTCTGTGAAAGAGTGAAACCTTGTTTTGTTCAACCAGGTGGGAGAGGATAACTCAGGATTTATTGAACTGGACAAGTTCCTCCCAGCGATGACCAAAATACTGCTGGAGCACAGGTGAGGTTCTAGTTGTTCTAATGTACTAAAACATTAAAAATGTTCGGCCTTCTTTAAGCACTTTTTGTTCCGACAGCTGTTGAATYAGATATTGTCTTCCTGCCTGACCTACTTCATAATCAACTGTAAGGTTTTTATTTCGTGATCCCTCTTATTATTCAGAATTAACTGGCTCATCAATGATTGCACTCAGATGTTACCAAATATAACCAACTTCAGCTTGATTTGCTGTCATTACTTTAACGAGCATCTGAAGGGTAAAAAGTTGCTTCAGTATTTCTTCAGCACTCAGCTGCAATGAAAACATGTCACAGAACAATGTTTTAATRAATGTGTTGGAAGTGTAAGTAAAAACAACATGCAACAGTGGTGATTGTTTTAACTGTGTGCAGCCCTGTTTGTGTCAATTTATTAAATACCATCCTAAGATTAAATCCTCCTTTTTTAGCCTGATTAAATGGGAAAAAATCTAAATCTCATAAATTAATCACTGTTAATTTACTGCCTTCTAAATTTTCAGCTCATTTTCTTTGACAGCTTTTACTTTGTGATTAACTTGATTTGAAACCCTCCAAAACATTACTCTTATATTAAACTTGCTCGTTCCAAAACACCAACTCTGTTCTTTTTTACATGATTTTTTAATGGAACAGATTTTTGAAATCTGACTTTTCTCATTGGAGACTTTCTCTTGAGATCAGTTCACAGGTTCAGGTGTGTTTTATTAGTAGTTTAATCAACATTTGAACAGTTGTGTTTAGGCTTTACCACCCAGACTAGGGTACCACCACCATGTTTCACAGGAGTCTTTATTCTAAATGGACTATACTTCTGTAGCACCTTTCTGTCCAGGACACTCAAAGTGCTTCACACTGTCTGTGCCCTCATTTACCTTTTCACACGACACTCCATTAGGTCTCTACAAAGCTAGCTGACAGTTTTAGGGGTGAAAGTGTCTGACTCTTGTCCAAGACAAGATAGCTGGAACRAGGGATCGAACCAGAACCTACTGGTTCCAAGAGGACTCCCCCTAACCACTCTGCCACATAAACATTACAGTAACACAATGCAGCCAGAGGCCACTCTGTGAGACTTTTGTGTTTCCTTTTAGTTCCTCTGTAGCCTTGTGGACAAATACAAACCCTGCAAGATCTTTGTTGCTGTTGTTTTTAGTAACGTTTTTAATGATTTTAATCTCAGTTAGTGGAAATCTGTAGAACCTCAGTAATTTTTATTCAGTTGTGTTTATATGAAAAATAATTTGTCCTTTTTAGGTTTCCTCCCATCCCTGAGGAACGTCTTCTTCAGGCTTTTGAGGTTTGCCTACTTCGTTTAGTGTTGCATAATGGGCTCTAAGCACTTTAGATGGTTTTATAGGGCCTGCACAGCTACGGTTTCTCTTTTGCACCAGTGTTGTTACAATCTGTGTTTCCAGGTTCTGGACAAAGAAAAGAAAGGCTACCTAGAACCTGAAGAGCTGAGGAAATACATGACAGAGGAAGGTAAAGCAGAGAGAGTAAATGAATCGGTGAAAGCAGATCTTTGTGGAACAGTTTCTAAAACGTCTGCTGTGCTTTTAAATTAGGTGAACCYTTCACTCAAGAGGAGATGGAAGAGATGCTAACAGCACTGGTTGACAACAAACAGAAGTGTGTACTATATAAGGAGGTGATCGGCCAACTTGTCATAGACCCTGACACATAGACTAACATGTCAGCACACCTTCTAGGAAATACCACAAACATATAATAAAACATAATTCATTCTGCAGCTGTGTGCTCTTAAAATGTTTTTCTTGGGACAACCAGCAGGAACTACATTGTGCTTCTGGTTTTGAGTTCATGAAAGCTGCATTTAAGGGCTTCTAAACCAAACCCAGAATCTGGCCTCAAAATACAGACAGGCTGAGTTTGAAAATAGCAAAACTTTCCACAAACTCTGCAGCAGGACGCTGACTTATTTATAAGAAACAGTCGTATTTTTATCCTGGACTCGATACTAATGTCAGTAAATAAAATAATTTTTTATTTTAAAATTTGTGAAACTTAAAACTTTAAAACTGCATAAAATGGGGGTGCTAAAGACATGATTATATACAGTATATATAT